ATATAGTCTTTTGTGACTGGCTTCTTTCACTTAGCATTATGTTTTCAAGATACACCGTGAAACTGTAGCATGTATCAGTACTTCATTGTTTTTATGGCCAAATAATATTCAATTTTATGGGTGTATCACTTTTATTTACCCATTCATCTGTTGATGGACATTGGATTGGGTTTTTTTCCAGTTTGGGGCTATTATGAATCATGCTGCTGTGAACATTCATCAATAAGTTTTTGTGTGGACGGATGTGTGTTTTTATTCCTCTCGGGTATCTTCCTAGGAATGGAGTTGCTGGGCCATATAATACTTTATGATTAACACTTTGAGGAACTGCCAAAAGGTTTTTGAAGGCAGTTGCACCATTTCACGTTAACACTAGCTAGTTCCAACTTCACATCCTCACCAACACTTGTTACTTTCTGGGGTTTTGTTTGTTTGTTTTTAATAATAGCTATCCCAACGGGTGTGAAGTGGTATCTCATGGTGGTTTTAATTTGCATTTCTCTAATGACTAATGATGTGCTTCTTTTCATGTGTTTACTGGCCATTTATATATTTTCTTTGAAGAAATATCTTCAAATCTACTGTCCCATTTTTCAGTTGGGTTATATATCTTTTTAAGTTTGAATTGTGAGGGTGCCTGAGTGGCTCAGTCATTAAGCGTCTGCCTTGGGCGCAGGTCATGATCCCAGGGTCCTGGGATTGAGCTCGCATGGGGCTCCCTGCTCCGCGGGAAGCCTGCTCTCCCTCTCCCACTGCTTGTGTTCCTGCTCTTGCTTTCTCTGTCTCTGTCAAATAAATAAATAAAATCTTAAAAAAAAAAAAGATTGAATTGTGAGAATTATTTATATATTTTGGATACTTGACCGTTATCAGATTTATGATTTGCAAATATTTTCTACCATTCTGTGGATTATCTTTTCACTTTCTTTTTTTTAAGATTTTATTTATTTGACAGAGAGAGACATAGTGAGAAAGGGAACACAAGCAGGGGGAGTGGGAGAGGGAGAAGCAGGCTTCCTGCAGAGCAGGGAGCCTGATGTGGGGCTCGATCCCAGGACCCTGGGACCATGACCTGAGCCGAAGGCAGACGCTTAATGACTGAGCCACCCAGGCGCCCTATCTTTTCACTTTCTTGATGGTGGTTTTTTTTTTTTTTGAACATAAACTCTATGCCCAACATGGGGCTTGACCTCACAACTGAGATCAGGAGTCACAGGCTCTACGGACTGAGCCAGCCAGGTGCCCCTGATGGTATCTTTTTCTTATTTTTATTTTTTTTATTTTTTTAAAGATTTTATTTATTTGAGAGAGAGAGAGAGTGAGAGAGAGAGCGCAAGAGGGGGTAGGGTTAGAGGGAGAAGCAGACTCCCCGCCGAGCAGGGAGCCCGATGGGGGACTCGATCCCAGGACTCCGGGATCATGACCTGAGCCGAAGGCAGTCGCTTAACCAACTGAGCCACCCAGGCACCCGGTATCTTTTTTTTAAAGACTTTATTTTTTAGAGCAGTTTTTGGTTCACAGTACGGTAGAGGAAGGTACGAAGATTCCCTATATGCTTCCTGCATGCACACATGGACAGCCTCCCCCATTATCAGCATCTCACAAAAGTTACGTATTTGTTATGATTGATGAAGCTACACTGAGATTTGAGGGTGTCTTTTGAAGTACACAATTTAAAAAATTTTGATGAAGTCCAATTTATTTTTTCTTTTGTTACTTCTTTTATTATTTTACCTAAGAAGGCTTTGCATAGCCCAAGGTCAAAGGTTTACTCCTGTTTTCTTTTATATTGTTTTAGCGCTTACATTTAGGTCTATGATTCTTAAGAGTTAATTTTCACATATGTGTAAGAAAGGGATCCATCTTCATTCTTTTGTGTGTAGTTCTCCAGGTGTGCCAGCACCATTTGTGAAAAGGATTGTTCTTTCCACCTTCAGTTTTCTTAGCAACCGTGTAGAAGAAAATGAACTGTCCATAAATGTGAAGATTTATTTCTGGTCTTTCAGTTCTACTCTATTGATCCTTCAGATCTTTTCTTAGGCTACACTGTGTGGCATATATATATGTTGCAGATCTTGATTACACTGTCTTGATTAATGTCACTTTGTAATAAGTTTGTAAATGAGCAAATGTGACTTCTCCAACTTTGTATTGACATTCTGAGTCCCTTGAATTTCTATATGATTTTTAGGATCAGCTTATCAATTTCTGCAAAGAAACCAGCAAGGATTGTGATATAGATTGGGTTAAATCTGTAGATCAGTGGGCAAGTATTACTATCTTAATAATAAGTCTTATAATCCGTGAACATGGGATGTCTTTCATTTACTTATGTCTTCTTAATGTCTTTATTTTTGTTTTTTAAGATTTTATTTATTTGTTTATTTTTAAAGATTTTATTTATTTATTTGACAGAGAGAGAGCACAAGCAGGGGGAGCGACAGGCAGAGGGAGAGGGTGAAGGAGGCTCCCTGCTGAGCAGAGAGCCCGATGTGGGGCTCCATCCCGGGACTCTGGGATCATGACCTGAGCTGAAACCAAGAATTGGACGCTTAACTGACTGTGCCACCCAGGTGCCCCTGAAATATACTTTTAAAAAACTTATTATACTACTAAATAAATCAAGATTCAAGATTAATACAGTAAAAAAAAGGTTTTTTTCAAGATTTTATTTATTTGAGATAGAGCAAGTGAGAGAAAGAGAGCACAAGCAAGGGTGGGGTCAGAGAGAGAGGGAGAAGCAGGCTCCCCACTGAGCAGGGAGCGCGATGTGGGGCTCAGTCCCAAGATCCTGGGATCGAGACCTGAGCCGAAGGCAGATGCTTAACCAACTGAGCCATCCAGGCACCCCTGTCATTTCTCTTAAATAGTTAAAAAACTACTAATTCATTCTCTTTACTTGTTATAGGTCTATTCATATTTTGTATTTCTTCTTGAGTAAGTTTCAATACTTGTGAAGTTCTAGGAATTTGCCCATTTCATCGGAATTACTTTTTAGGCATATAGTTGTTCATAGTATTCCTTTATAATCTGATTTGTTAAATCAGTAGTAATATTGCCTCTTTCATTCTTGATTGTAGTAATTTGAGTCTTCTCTTTTTTCTTGGTCAATCTAGATAAAGGTTTGCTAATTTTGTTGATATTTTATATCAAGTTTTTCATTTTCTTATTGTTTTGAGAGTACCTTGTATATTTTCAAGACAAATCTGTTTCATATATTTGTTTTACATTTCTCCCAATCAGTGGCTTCTGCTTAACAGTATCTATTTTTTTTTTTAAGTAGGCTCCACACCCAATGTGGGGCTCGAACTCATGACCCTGAGATCAAGAGTCGCATGCAGTGCGAGAGAGAGCGGCCTGGGGTCCCTTTTTTTTTTTTTTTTTTAAAGATTTTATTTATTTGAGAGAGAG